TGTCTAGGAGTGGCCAATTCTGTTGTTAGAGCATCTCCAAAAATAGTGAGAGAGTTCCCAAACCCTTGTGGATGGGTTGTTTTGTTTTGTTTTGTTTTGTTGGTTTTTCTTCGGTACCGGGAACCAAACTCACGACCTTGCACTTGCCAGGCAGGCGCTTTTGCCGCTGAGCTAAATCCCCAGCCCCTTGTGGATGGGTTGTAAACTGCCTAGTGCAAGGTGATAGCTGCGTTGTTGATGGCACAGAGATCTTGCACTAGCTGGTAATCCCCACTGGGTGTTTTTACCAGGAGGGGAGGAGTGTTTCAGGTGATTAACAGTATATCAGGATCCTGAACTGCTTTAGGCGGCTCATGTGTGCTAGATGCCTGTTTGTGCTTCCTGTGACATAGGACATGAGAGAGTGGTTGATGACGAGACCCAGAGGCGAGTCTTCAGCTCATACCTTAGGGGGAGAATTTTCAGAATTTCAGGATTGTGGTTTTCTGTCTTGAGCTGATACAAGCTTTAACAAGAGAAGGGCTGACTGGCTTGGTGCCTTTAACTTGAAGAGGAGGTCTCTTTCCAGAAGCAGTGTGGGGCATACAGGCATGTACAGAAACAAATTCTTACCTGCCAGAAGAGGCAAGAAGTAAGAGTCCCAGTTGCACCAGGGATGGTAACGTTTGTTTTAACAGGGGGAACTTTTAAAGGCAGAGAGTTCTGTTCCGTTGTCTACCAGGAAGAAGAGAGCCCAGTCTGACCTAGTCTGAGCGCATCAGACCTATGAAAGGGTTGTCATCTGATTCAAGTTGAAGTTTTTGAGAGTCCTTATCTTTTAATCTGAAGGGGCATTTTTTTTTTGTCCGTAACCCTTATAACTTGCATACTGGTAAGGGCTTTATCAGACTTCTGGGTAACAGTAGTAACTTTTGACATATTTTTGGGCTTTTTGTACCCCCGCTTTGATGTCTTTGAGAAATACTTGACTGGGTTGCCTTGTTTCTTTTTGCTGACTGGAAAGCTGACCCAGTGATGGCTACTGTGGTATTTGTCAATGCAGAGTCCTCAGCTCTTGTTCAGGCTTTGGGAGCAGAGGTGTCAGGGCTTGCAGCAGCTTCATTTCATTTTAACTCTGTAATCACCAGAAAAACTTCCTTTGCTGCAGTCAGGGACTACGAGTTTTGACTATTTCTTGACTGAGTTTTCCCAACTCTGACTTTCTACGTGTGTTGTGTACCCTTAAATGATGGCACACTAGACAAAGGGTGAGTGCCCCTTGGAGAGAGAGACTGTTCAGATGCCTGCCTGGCCACTTGCCTCCTGGCAATGTTAGGACCATTCAGACTGAGGAGAAGCATCAGTAGGTTCTCCATTTTGTCCTTTATTAGATGTATCCATGGAGCTGCAGGTTGGGGCCCAATCAAGCTCCATAGTTTGGAGAGAGAAGTCCAACTCCATACCATGGAGCATAGACAGAACAACCTATTGCCTTTGCTGTCCATTAGGAATACTCACACAGTCATTCAGCAGACACTCAGAGGTTAAACAGTCCAACACCCTTTCCTTGAGGGTGAACGTTGATCAGGCTCTCCTTCTGCTTGAGCTGAGCAGGACTGACAGATAGACTAACTGGGTGCCCCTAGGGTCTCTCTAGAATCTGACAGGCAGGCAGGCAGGCAGACTATCCTCCTCCCTTTTGGGTCCTATGTGAGCCACTTGAATGGGGAGCTGAGAATCTTCCTCGAGACCCCAGAGGGGATTCAAGAAATCTGAAGAGCACACTTTCCCATCAGGACCTGGAGAGGTCCTTGCTCAGTCTGAGAGGGCCACGACCAGTGACCAAAGGGGTCAGTTGGTCTTGGGGCTGGAGATCTAGCTCAGCGGCACAAGTGCCTGCCTGGCAAGTGCAAGGTCCTGAGTTCAATTCCTGGCACCAAAAAAAAAAAATTGGTCTTCCCAGCCAACACACCAGACTCAGTGGTAACAGAAACACTGAAACATCACCCAGGATTTGGAGGCAGATTTTTTATGTTGCTGGGCACTGACCAGGATCATTCCCAAAATATCAAGCGCTGATCTCTGATGGTCTAGGGCATATATGGGAAGTGGGAAGTATACAGAAGCAGAGTACTTCACTGTCTTTGATTGGTTCTTAAAATACGCATCATAGTGACCAGCTATGTATCATAGTGACTGGCCACTCCTAAGAAACAGAGGTAACAGGAACTGTAACAAGAACTGTTAACTGGGAAACAGAAACTAAAGTATTTTGATTGGGGGAACATTTTATGCTATAGAATACATACTTGTATATTCTTGAGTTTTTAAATTTTTCACCAGGTATGGTGGCAGACATCTAAAATCCCAGTGTTCTAGAAGGCTGAAGCAGGAAGATCACAAATTTAAATCCATCCTAAGCAGTTTAGTGACTTAGTGGGATCCTGTCTCGAATTAAAAAGTGAAAGGAGGCCAGGCATGATGGGCCACACTTGTAATCTCAGTACTTGGAAGGCTGAGGCAGGAGGATCATTGCCAGTTCAAGACCAGTGTGGGCTACAAAGTGAGCTCAAGGCCAGCCTGAACTGCATAGCAAGACCCTGTCTCAAAAAGACGAAAGAAAGAAAAAAGTGAAAGGGGCTCAGTACAAAGGCTCTGGGTTCAGTCTCCACTACTACAAAAACAAAATTTCATTGTGCCATTTTTTGTAACTTTCTGTGATCCTATAGTTATTATTTCAAAGGTGAAAGCTTTAGCCAGCTGTGGTGCCATAGGACTGTAAATTGAGTAACTCAGAAGGCCAAGGCAGGACTATTGCAAGTTCTAGGCCCAGTCTGGCCAACTTAGCAAGGCTCTGTGTCTCAAAATAAACTTTTAATAAAAGAGCTGGGGTTGCAGCCCAGTAGTGAGGTGCTTGCTTAGCATATGCAGGGCCCTGGGTTCAGTCCCTAGTAAGTCCCCCTACCAAATTAAAGCTCCTTTCTAATGCAGCAAACATAGTAGGTATAATTCACATAACCAAGAGCTCTCTGGGATCCTCAGTGGTTTTAAGAGTGTAAAGGATTCCTGACCCAAAATTATTAGGAGCCATTGCCTTAGGACATGTAAATGGGATAAGAAATATTCTTTTCTTTAGAAACTTGAAAGAAATTAATTAGCTTTTATTTTCAGTACTCTCTGCCTTCTGCTTCTTGATGTTCTCCTTGTTTAGGAGCAAAGGAGAGCAAGGAGAACTCATTTACTGTGACAAGCCCCCTCACTATCCAGTGTCCAGGATAACTCACTTCTTCACTGATAATTTTATCTCTGGTTCATGTAAAGCAGTCTCTACACTCTTTATAAATGTCATAACGTTGCAGACTTGCAACCTGGGGCTAAGGTTCAGATTCTCCAGGTGGAGGAAGCACTTTTCAGCCTGGTTTTAAGAGTGAAGGAAGAGGTGTGGTGGCACATAGCTGTAATGCCAGCATTCCAGGACTGAGGCAGGAGGATTGCCATGAATTTGAGACCAGCCTGGGCTACACAGCAAGACCCTGCCTCAAAAAACCAAAAAGAGTGAAGGAAGAAAGCCACAGCTGATCCAGGGACAAAACTGCTGTGAGGACCTGGAAGGTCAACTGTCAGACACGATCTCATATAATATTTTTGCATATATACTGAGTTTCTCTTTTACCACTCAAGAGGTAATATTTTCTTATGAAGAAGGATTAAAATCTGTCCAAACTATGATGTATTGATAACTTCTTTGTAGGCTGCCACATACCATGGTGAATTACAGAGAATCCGTCCTGTCCTTTAGAGAGGAAGTGTGGGTCTGCAGAGCTCTGCTCTCTGAGTAAGGTGTTCGGGGAGGGCTGTGCCATTGAAAGGAAGGACTGGCCATTGCTTTGTGGTGTTGCTTCCCACAAGAAAAAGTCCTGTCCTAGGCCTTCAAGCAGAGAGGCTTGGCAACCTTAAAGCAACATTGGCACCAACTTGCTGAGTCACCTCTGCCCTGTCCCTCCATCTTCTGGTCCTCGGCATCCTCACCAGCATTAATCCTTTGTAGAGAACAGGATGGGATTGACTTGCTGAAAAATACTTCTTTAAGAACTTTTTTTTTTTCTTCCCTGTGTTCTCCAACTTTCAAATAGATCTTCTTCTTTTCTGACAGTGTGTTCTGTTCAGAGGGCTCCAGCAGACTCACCTGAGTACTAAAACTGTCACTGTGGGGGTGGGGTGGAAAGTGGCCTGGGACTACTTGTCTTTTTCCATGCAGTGCAGTAGCCACGGGGGGCAGGGGACGATAAAGCCTTCTAGGACCGAGTGGCCATCAAACAGCAAAGCTAAATACTGACTTCAAGGGAACATTGCTTTGGCTTCTTAAAGTCTTGGTATAAGAATACTTATATGAAGGGGCTGGGGATTTAGCTCAGCGGCAAAAGCGCCTGCCTGGCAAGCGCAAGGTCGTGAGTTTGGTTCCCAGTACCGGAGAAAAACAAAAAAAAAAAAAAAAAAGAATACTTATATGAGTTTAATTTGTTCCTGACTCAGTATTTTCCCATTTGAAAGTCACTATATTTTCACTATATCTTCCCCCCTTAGTAAGCAAGGAGTTTAGTAAAACTTTACTTCTTGTGTGTCTTTCCCAGTTCTTCTAAACTCCTCCTGTAAAATGATAGATAATGAGGATTGTTTGACGAATGGATTTTACTGCCTGTAAAATTTCTGATTTGTGAGTTGGATTCTTAGCAAACATCATAAATGCTTAACTGTCACCTATAAAGTTAATTTTTGGTCTAGGCAATTATAGAGCTTTCCTATAAAAACTTAAAGTTTAAAATTCTGCCCCTGCCTGGGGAACCTCGGCCCTATCGAGCCAGTGGGGACTTGGCCAGTAGCCACTCCCCTTTCTCTGAACCTGATGTGCCAGAGGGGCAGTCGCTTTGCCCTAAGATACTTACATGCATATGGAATAAACATGTTAACATTAAAATTTTACCTTTTCTGTCCTTTTCTTACCTGTCCTCTCAACTTCATAGGGTGATATCCACGAGGATTTCTGCAGCGTTTGCAGAAAAAGTGGCCAGTTGTTGATGTGTGACACGTGCTCCCGTGTGTATCATCTGGACTGCCTCGACCCGCCTCTGAAAACCATCCCCAAGGGCATGTGGATCTGTCCCAGATGTCAGGACCAGGTATTGGGGTGGCTCGGACCAGGGTGAGCTGAGGAGGAGGAGGAGTGCCTTCCCTCTGCCGGGGGAGTGGGACCTTCTCCTGTCCTCCAGCTGTTTTTTTCCAGACCACACCTTCTCAGCCTGTGCACAGCACCAGCCTCAGCCTCATGCCCTCAGAGCCTCTGTCCCACTGACCAAGGTGGAGAACAGCCTCCTTCCCTGTACTTGAAATCCTTATCTTCTTTTTAAATGTCAAGATCCTCAAAAGTTCATCCTGCCTCATCCTCTAAAAAAGGTCCAGTAAAAAATAAAAAAGGTCCAAACCCAGTATATGGCTTTAGAACTCTTCTTTGGGAATAAAATCCTTAAAGAAAAGTATTCAATTGATTAGTTCAGTTAACAATCATTTCACCTTTAAATTTTATTATCTTTAGGCTCAGAGAACTAACTGTGAAGTGCTGTCTTGATATTTCAAACTTAGAAGGCACATATGTTAGTAACTGTCCTAGCTATCTCCCTCCTTCTCTATTTGGTTCCTGGTCTCATTTTCTCAGTTACTTATGTATTTTTGTCTTTATAAAAGATTTTACTATAGTTGGGTGTAGCTGCAAACACTTCTAATCCTAGCACTCTGGGACGCTGAGGCAGGAGGATCACAAGTTCAAAACCAGCCTAGGCCAGGCATGGTGGCACACGCCTGTAATCCCAGCACTCGGGAGGCTGAGGCAGGAGGATCGTTGTGAGTTCGAGACCAGCCTGGGCTACAAAGTGAGCTCACGGCCGACCTGAACTGCACAGACAGACCCTGTCTCAAAAAGACAAAACAAACAAACAAAAACGAAAAAACCAGCCTAGACAATTTAACAAGTTAGTAAGACTGTCTCAAAATACAAAGAGGCTGAGGATGCAGCTCAGTGTAGAGGCCCGGGGTTCAATCCCCAGTACTGGGGCATTAAAAGCTGTCCCAGGTCTTTAGGAAATAGACAAAGTACTGTATAAGTAATATGTAGCCCAGCAAGCACTGGAATCCTGCTGAGTTCTTTTAAAAACTCTTGATTTGAGAGAATTCTGCTTTTCCCCTTCTAATCTTAGTCCTTACCCCACTGTGTCCAGTGTAGTAGAGTAGCCCTCTCTGCTCTTTTCTGATGCTGCTTTGTGACCTTTTGATAATCTACACAGGGTCTAGATTACGCTTTAGTACTTAGAACTGATATTTAATTTTCTTGGTCAAGATGTCTTTCAGGAAGCTGGGTATAGCTATGAGCTTTTTGGGAGGCTGAGGTAGGAGGATTCCAAATTTGAGCCAGCCTAGCCAATTTAGCAAGACCTTGTATTAAAACAAAACCAAACAAAATTAGCCAGGCGTGGTGGCCCATTCCTGTAATCCCAGCCCTTGGGGTGGGGTGGGGAATGGGAAGGACCTGAGGCAGGAGGATTGCCAGGAGTTCAAGGCCAACCAGCACTATATAGCAAGACCCTGTCTCCAAAAAACAGCAACAAAAATTAAAATAAGGACTGGGGTGTGGTGGCACACTTGTGATCCCAGCACTTGGGAGGCTCAGGCAGGAGAACTGCTGTGAATTTGAGACCAGCCTGGGCTACAGAGTGAGTTCAAGTCCAGCCTGAACTGCATAGCAAGACCCTGTCTCCGAAAAGACAAGGACTGGGGATGTGGCTCAGCTCTAGAGCACTTGCCTCGTGTGCGTGAATCCCCAGAACCACATTTTTTTTAAAAAAGTCTTTGAGGGACATAGTAAAATGGGAAAAAAGCCACCCATATGGGTCAAGGGGAAAATTGCCCATGACATCCACCACCGTCCTGACATGCGGCCTTCGTGCCGGTGGCTCTGGCCTTGTGGAGTGGCTGAGGCAGTGTGGCCTGTATGAGACGGTGGGATGCTCGGCCAGATCCTAGCCTCTTTCTAAACCCAGGCACAAGTGTCTTGATTCTTGCAGCCTTTGATATTTAGCACTTTTTGGCCTGGAATCTACAAATCCTTCCTGGATTTCGTTTGCCAGCAGTCATAAACACTGTGTCTTGCCCTTAACCGGTAGGGTATGTGTTTATGCTTCCTTTTCAAGGTAGAATTCTCAAATTCTTTTCAGATGCTGAAGAAAGAAGAAGCAATTCCATGGCCTGGAACTTTAGCAATTGTTCATTCCTATATTGCCTACAAAGCAGGTAAAGGACTACCCATAGCCCTTTTTTGGTAAGGCTCACATTCTTAAAACAGAAATTATTGCCAGGCACAGGAGTGCATGCCTGTAATTCCAGCACTCAGGAGGCTGAAGCAGGAGGACTGCTGCAAGTTCCAGGCCAGTCTGGGCTGTGTGGTGAACTCAAGGCCAGCCTGAATTACATAGTGAGATTCTGTCTCAGAAAAACAAAAAAGAAAGAAAGAAATTGTTAGCCAGGCACAGTGACACATGCCTGTAATTCTAGCTACTTGGGAAGCTGAGCCAGAAAGATTGAAAGTTTGAGGCCAATCTGGACTACTTAGTGAAACCTTGTCTCAAAAAAAAAAAAAATAAGAGTTGAGGGTGTAGCTCAGTGATCCTGCGCTTGCCCAGAGTGCACTAAACCCTGAGTTCAGTCCCTGGTACTGGGGGAAAATTGGAAGGCAGTATTTGTTTTCAAAGCCGGGTGTGGTTGTGCACACCTGTAGTCCCAATATTCTGGTTTCTCTTCAGATTACATAAACCTTTCTCCTTTCATCTGTAGTCCCAGCACTTGGGAGGCTGGGGCAGGAGGATCTCTGTGAGTTCAAGGCCGGCCTGGGCTACACAGTGAGTTCAAGGCCAGCCTGGACTATGTGGTTAGTCCCTGTCTCATAAAAACAAAAATAAAATAAAATGAAAATGTTTTATTAAATGAAGCAGAATGTTTGCGTACCACCTTCTTGGGGAAGAAAGATGAGAAGTGTGAGATCTTGTCTGTGTAAAGCGCAGCCTGAGCTTCAGACACGGTCTCTGCAAACCTAGACATAGAACAGGAGAGGGGGCGAGTTCCGCGCTTGGGTTATGAGACACGGCAGGCCTTTTGGGGTAAAGACCTTCTTTGGCAAGCATTCTGAGCACAATAGCCTTTCCAATGAAAACATTGTTAGAAACTATCCCTTTTTCCTCCAGCTAAAGAAGAAGAGAAACAGAAGTTACTTAAATGGAGTTCAGATTTAAAACAAGAGCGAGAACAATTAGAGCAGAAGGTGAAACAGCTCAGCAATTCTATAAGTGTAAGTCCCCAGCCTGACTTCGGTGGCGGGCTGCAGACTCCAGGTGTGTTCGAGAGCACAGCGGCGCGTGAGGCCCCAGGGCAGCACGGCTCCTTCCGCTGTCGGGGTGGGCGGTGGGGCCAGTCCCTCCAGTTTCCTCCAGTGAGGGTTCAGCCCCGTGGCACCTTACCGAGCTCTGGAGCACCCGCTTGGCTTTAATCTGAGAGGATTTTCTGTCTCGAGCCTGTGCGGATCAAGTAGCAGCCACAGCAGTGCAGTCACCACCCCTGTGCATTCCTGACCTTGTCTGTGTCTGGAGAGAGTGTGGAGCTTCGCCCGACCCGGGGTGGACTCGGACCGGTCCCCGGTGTGACTCCTTCTGGCCCCTGAGCTGGGGGGTCCAGCCGTGGGTCTTCCCTCGCCCCTTTTTCCACACACTGTGCTGACAGCATTTCTCAGTTGCGCTGCGCAGCGTGAGGAAGGGGCCCAGGGGAAGGTATCAGAAGTGCATGTGCCTGGCCCTTCAGACAGGAGCGGGTCCCCCGACACCCTCCCAGTAGAGCAGGGTATCCTCATCTCTCAGACACCAGCTGGTGCCGGGCACTCGGTGGCAGAAGAGCTCACTCCTTTCCCCTCACACAGCCACCCATGGCTGCAGAGTGAACACCTCTCTCCCTGCCTAAAGCAGGCGCCAGCAGCTGTGGGGCTGAGGGCGGGAGGGCTTCTTTGGCCTTGGGCTGTCCAGGCTCCCTAAACCCCCTCCCTAACCGACCCTCTTCAGGCCCTGTAGCTAAGCTCTTAGGGACCCAGTGATGCTCCCAAGGCGCTCAGCTCAAGCCCAGGTGTCACTGCTAGCTCGATTCTACCCAGAGCTCCGTGGAGTCCTCAGGGCCACCCGTTAGTGTGGCAGAGCACACCCGTGCCTGCTCCAGCCAGTGTCAGGGCAGCTGTGGGAAGTTCTTAAGTGACTTCCGTTTCATTGGTGGTTATGCAGTTTGGTTTTAAGTGCTAGTGTCAAGCAGAATTGGCTTTTAGGCCCATCGCTTGTCCCCTCTCTTGCTCTTTGAGGCCTCCCTTTCCTTAGGAAGTAGCTACCACTCCAAGTGGAACCAAGCAAGTTCTGGGGGCTGCACCTGGCCCACAGAGTTCTTTCAGGGGGCAGAGGCTGCTCCTTTGGGGGCTGTCAGGCCTTTAGAAAAGCAAGCTGCTCAGTGCTGCCTTTTCATTTGCTGCAGAAATGCATGGAAATGAAGAACACCATCCTCGCCCGGCAGAAGGAGATGCACAGCTCCTTGGAGAAGGTAAAACAGCTGATCCGCCTCATCCACGGCATCGACCTCTCCAAACCTGTAGACTCTGAGGCCACTGTGGGGGCCATCTCCAACGGCCCGGACTGCACCCCCCCTGCCAGCGCCAGCGCCTCCACGCCCACCCCCTCCCCGACCTCGCAGAGCTGCACAGCGAACTGTAACCCGGGGGAAGAGACTAAATAACAGAGCCCTCCGGAGAAGCCACGGGATCCTGGCGGCCAGGAGCGTGCAACACTGAAGACTCTAGAAAAGCAAAGCCGATCGCTTCTGGGAAGTACAGGATTCTTTTGGCTCTTTGGTTCCAGAGAGAGAGAAGATGCTTGTGCCAGGTGGCACCCGAGTTTGCCAATTGATCCTTCTTATTCTGTGTGTACATGCAAAGATTGGACCATGTTACATGAAATAGTGCCAGCTGGAGGTTCTTTGCCAGCACCATGCCAAGTGAGATAATATACTTACTCTCTCTGTTATACACCAGTGTGTGCCTGCAGCAGCCTCCACAGCCACCATGGGTTTGTTTTTGTTTTGTGGGTGGGAGCAGGGACGGGCGGAGGGAGGAGAGCAGGTTTCAGATCCTTATTTGCCGAGCTGTTTGTCTAGGTAGAGAAGACAAGTCCAAAGAGTGTGTGGGCTTTCCTGTTTCTAAACTTTCACTACTATCAAACCAAAAAAAGAAAAAAAAAGGAAATCGAGATTTAACCAACCCCAGTGCCCAGAAGAGGGGCGGGGTGGGGTGGGGAGGGGCGCGGGTGGGAGCTATATCCATAAGCAGTATTCCTATCGTCAGGAGGGCCGCCAGGGCACTAGGGGGAGACCAGGAAGGCCACTAGCTTCTCCTCCCAGCCCTGCTCCTGCCCGGGTGCCCGCCGCCCTCCCAGGCCTCCGCCTCCCCTCCCCACCCCCGCTCGGTGACTGCGCACCCCTGTGCCGTGAGCCCCTCAGTCCCTGGAGACCAAGGCCAGCTGGGCCCTGCTGGCCTTGCCCAGGCAGGGAAGAAGGGTGTGTGTGTGGTCCAGGAAGAAAAAAGGTGAATTGGTGATTTTACTTGAAAACAAGCTCCATCCCTTTTCTATATTTATAAGAAGAGACGACCCTGAGCGAAGCAGCACGCGACCCAGGTGTGTGTGAATTGAATGGAGATGTTTCTTTCCTCTTTTTTTTTTTAAATTTTTGTTTTTCTTTTTTCTTTAAAGAAAGTTTTATTTTGTTGTTTATTTTACTTTTTTGGTAACAAAAACTAAACTAAGGAATAGAAAAGCTGTTTTTCAGGCTGACAGTCCAGTTAAGGGTAGTCGAGGCCGTGCATGGTAGCGTAGGAGTCATAGTGTCAGTGAGGTCAGTGAGTCTTTGTGAGTCCTGTGTCATCGTTTGGGCACTGTTTTTTTATGCAAGGGCAAAAAAAAAAAATCTTTGTATCTGGGGGAAAAAAACACTTTTTTTTAAATTAAAAAGGAAAATAAAAGCTACTGAGGTCTTCCTAGTGTTACTTAAATTAAGATCAAGGTAAGAAACATTGTAAAAAAATTACAAAAGTGCTATTTGTTTCCTAAAAACAGTGATTTCTATTAAAAAGGTGTCAGAACTGGAGAAAATGCCGTGTAGTTACAATTTTTTAGCACAGAACCTGCTGATCATGATGACATTTTGCTGTGTGTGTGTCTCTGAACTGGTGGGCCAGTCCCCAGGAAGGGCTGCGGGCTACGCGCCCTCCTCCTCCTCACAGACCACCCACTCTTCCTGGTGCAGGGATCTCGGCTCCTGTTTTTGAGTCCAAATGGAGTGTGCATGGTATCAGGGCCCTGCCCCCGGTCTCCTCCGTGTCTGCTAGAGCAAAGGCTGGTGCCTCAATAAGATCCTTCCTTTGGTGCTGCTCTCGGTCTTTCAGCCACCAGCATTCCGAGTGCCTGGGGCGCCTCTTGAGAGGAAGGCCGGCCAGGTTCCTTGCTGCCCCTCGGAGGGTGTGGTGCGGGCTGGCTGCATCAGCCCTCGGTGCTTCGAGAGAACAGAGGAGGGAGGCGCTTGAGGGACGTTTGTCTTCGAGATGGAGCTGGGTGGCCTTGAGTCTGTCTTGCTTTGGAGAGTCAGAGGCTCCACCATGTTCTCTGCCTGCTGGCCCAGGCATCACCCACCTGCACACAGCTTCCTGGACACCCCTGGGCTAGAATCGCTGTGCTTGCCTTGGCTCGGCCTATCGTGGCCTTTCCTTTTTGGGAAAACCAGGTTCTGAAAGGCTCAGATCGTCTCTGTCGTGCCGCGTGGGAAGTAAATCCTGTCAGACGCATGTCCACGCTGCAGCTCTTTGTCCATTGCGTGTCCCTGGCTTAAGGGACAGAAGCAGAAGTTCTGCCTGTGGCCCCACTGTGATGTCTCTTCTCAATCCGCCCCAGGCCCGTGATGGCCAGAGTCTGGGTGTGGCAGAAAAGGCCTCTTAGCTTCTCCCTCCCCCAGTTAGGCCCAGAGACAGAGGGACTCCGGAACGAGAGCAGCAGAGAAGAGATGCTGCTTAGAGTAACACGCTCACCCTTGCTGAGGGCTTGGGGTTTGACTGCACAGGCCTCAGAGCCGGGTCCTGGCTGCCAGGCTGGCTGAGGGGAACAGAGGAGCCCCTCTTCTCATTCAGAAACTGAGGTGCTATGTCTAGTCAGGGAGCCTTGTAGATGCCTGGACTAGTTGGGACAGTCGTTGGCGGCGGATCAGAGGCCAGCGGAGGCTGAACGCCTTCTCAGAGCTCTCTGTGGACGTGTCTGGGCCCGTAAGCTGGGGCTTGCCGCATAATACCCGTCCTTCCTGGAAAGGAGCCTCTACTCCGAGAGGGGTGCGGGCTGGGGGACCAGGCCAGGAAGTGACTGGTTTGCCTGCTTGAGTACTGTCCACTACCTTCTGACCTCTCCTAAAGTCAAGGAACAGATTCTTCCTAAAGTTCAGATCCAGGCTGTTATGGAGTACAACTTGCAGCCCTGGCCCCAGCCTCCATCCTGGGCTCAAATTCCAAGACTCCACCATACTGTCAAGCAAGGCCTCTCGCTCCTGCCATCTCACTGTCCTTCGCTGATCTGCCAACCCAGGAGCTCAGCTCTGTCCCTCCGGACCCGTGGGCGCCCACAGCAGCGCCCCACCTGTGCTGCTTCCTCTTCTTCCACTCTTTCTCTTACTCTGACATCCACAAGTGTAAGCTAGGCTGGCTCTGCCGTCACTTCCAAGGGCCTGGACTGGGAATCCGATTTAGCCCCAGATCAGGCACAGTCCTGCCCCGGGGGCTGGGAAGTCCTCTTAGCTGTGTCATCCTCCCATTTGCGTTGTAGCTGCCTGCCTGCTTCCTCTGCCCTCTGCCCTCACCCCTCAGCACGGATCCTGCGCAGCCCCGGGCGGTGCTATGAGGTCATGCTGCTGTCATCCCCCTTTTTATCCCCACCTTTATTTTGCATTCCTGGCCTGCAGGTCCTTTTTCTTCCAAGAAACCTGCTGGGTCTTGCCTCACCCTTCCACCTCCATCCCACTAAGCTCATCCAATTCTGGTATCTTCCTTCCTTATCAGGCCTTTGGGGGCAAGCCTGTCCCAGTACCTGACTGGGACCCAGCTGGGGCGGTCCCTGGCGGGCCTTCCCTGTGTGAGGGCCTGTCCCTGGAGCCCGCTGCGGAGCCTGGGCTGCCTCGCTGTGCCTGCTGCTGCCGGCTCAGGCCCAGGGGCACTGCGAACGAGTGTACTTGGGGCACATCGCTGGCGCTGTCTCTGTGGGTACTGCTGCCTGTCTGCCACCTCTGGCACTCTCTTGGGGCTATTGGAGCCTCCCGGGGCTCTCTCAGCACCCCACCCCTCCACGCCCACTCAGAGTGGTCTCTTCCCTTTACTCCCTCCTTGGGTGTGGTCCGTCCTTACCTAAAGGGCTGAATTTAGGAGACTTTCACCGCTGGTGGAAGGTGCCTAGGGTAACGGACCGATGGCGGCCCAGGGACACTTTCCAGACCCTGGGTGCTCAGATCCCATAGCTTGTGTTGGATGGAGGTAACTTTTCTGTGTAAATGACTGGACCTCGCCCCACCCCTCAGCAGGGCAACCTCGGCGGGAAACAGGAGTCCCATTCTCACCCTGACTTAAATCTGGCCCCGATTTAAGTCCTCTCAAGGGAGTTGGTGGCCCCTGGCGACCTCCTCTGGCCTTCCCACTAGAGTGGAGGGGGCAAGCTGGGGTTACCCCTCGAGAGCCTGGGCTCTTACAAGTGACTCCTAACAGGGAGGCAGGGCGCGGGTCCCGCTGGGCACTCCCTCCCCCGGCTCCTTCCTGCCAGGCCTCCATGCCGCTCGCAGCCCCACGCAGCCGTGGCCCCCGCACCTCTCTGCAGTGTCCCGGTGCCCAGCCCGGGGTGAGTTGCAGGCAGGCAGGCAGGAGGGACGGGCAGGCCAGCGGTCAGCAAGCTCCGAGCGCAGGAGAGCCAGCCAGGCCCCAGTCCTGTCTCTTGTCCATGCCCTTTGTGATTTCAGTCTTGGTAGAACTTGTATTTGGAGTTTTGTGCTTCAAAGTTTTTGTTTTTGTTTGTTTGATTTTTGTTTTGAGGGGGTGGGGGGGATACAGAGCAGCTGATCAATTTGTATTTATTTATTTTAACATTTTACTAAATAAAGCCAAATAAAGTCTCTCAGCCTCATGGTGTCGGGTTCGGTGAGGGAGGGTGGGTGACGCTCCAGCCCCAGCCTCTGCCCTCCGGGGTCTCAGGTCTCGCCGTCCCTCCCGGAGTAGCGCCTCCCTGTCCCTTGATGCCCTTGGGCCCTAGAGAGCCCTTGACCCCCCCACCGGGAGGAACACAAAAATCACTTCAAAACTTTAATTATCAAAAAGGAATGTGCAGGAGGGAGGGTGGGGAAGCCGGCCCCAAACCAGCTGGGGCAACAGGAGGCTGGATCCCAGCTGTGGCACGAAGGCAGCAGGGGAGGCCCCAGGCCCACCCACAGAGACCTTAAATAACTTAAATAGCTGTGAAGGTGGGAGGGTGGCAGTGGGAGGGTGCCCGGTGTCTGCAGGCCGCGTGTGAGCTGAGCCCGGTGAAGGGGTGGCACAGGTCCAGCCGACAGCGGCTCAGACGGGGCTCCTGGGCCGCTGCAGGGCCGTGAGGTATTTGAGGGCAGCGGCCCCGTAGCGGCGGGACAGGTCCTGGTGGAACTCCTCCTTGAGGGCCTGCAGGCAGGCGCGATAGGCAGGGCTGGAGCGGAAGCGGGAGATGTCCAGGCTTGGTGTGTGGGGCAGGTGGATGGTGAAGGCCTCGGGCAGCACCAGGAGCTCATACTCCTGCGGGGTTGGGGAGGCGGCAGTGCTGGGGAGCAGGCTCACGCCACAGCCCCCCAGACCGCAGCAAGGGCGAGGGAAAGGGCAGGCTGACAGCTGCCCAAGGACTCACCCGCCCGGCAGAGGCACAGCTGGGCTGGAGTTCAGGCCGCCCCCTCACCTGTGCGTCCAGCTCCATGATGTGGGCCACCTTGTTCCAGCCGAAGCCCACAAAGCGAGGGTCGTAGCGGGGACAGTCGCGTGGCACCACCACATAGGGCTCGTAGTCGGCTGCCCACTGCACGCGGTATGGCGCCTGAGCCTCCCGCCAGCTGGCGTAGTCCGTGGCCGCGTGACCCCGTGGCCACTCGTGGTACCTGTGGGGCAGGAGAGGCAGGCTGAGGTGAGGAGCCCTCGTGGCCGGGGTGGGGACCGCAGCCGAGTGGCAGCCCCTCCTACCTGAAGGTGGAGAGGGCACCAGCGTCCAGCAAGGCCAGCAGCTCAGCCTTGGACCTGGGGAAGCTGAGGCGGTAGCGCAGGGTCTCGAACGCCGGCACCACCAGAGCGGCCTTGCGCAGGCTGCCCAGCCCCAGCTGCTCGATGGAGGCCCTGAGGAGCACAGTGACGAGGGCCGGCATGGGGACTCTGCCTCTGGGGTTGGGCCCTGCGCCTCCTTTCAAAGGACAGCCACCCTCAGCGCCTCCAGAGCAGCACGGTGCAGCGGAGCTGCTAGCAGCTCTGTTTTTATGTTTGGGGAGCTGCTGTTTGAAGCCACCCCAGCTGCCCCAGCTCTCAGGAGCCCAGAGGAACAGCCTAACCCAGACCCCCGTGCACAAAGGACACGGGTGCCACAGCCAGCGCGGCCGCGCCAATGTCCCCGCCCGGCCCACCTGAGGTAGTCGTAGAGGGAGTAGGCAGGCAGGAAGTCGATGTCGCTGAGGAAGACGTAAGGCGTGAGTGCCTGCGCCAAGGCCACGTTGCGGAGCTGGTTGACAGGGTACAGGGGACCCTCACGGTACACCACATGGTAGGCCACATCCTGCCGGGCAGACAGCACCGGCGAGGCCTCGACGAAATGCAGGAACTGCTGGGCCTCTGCGTCTGTGAGGTACAAGGCCAGGCTCATGGGGCCCGGCCAGTGCCTGCACAGGGCTTCGAGCATCTGCAGCCTGGGGTGAGCGGGGTGGTGAGCCCAGGGAGGGCGGGAAAAGCTCCCTCAAGTTGACACCCTCCCGAGTGACTGGCAAGCACCTGCCCTCAGGCCAGTCTTCGTCTTCCCCATCCCACCAGCTGTGAGGAAACGCAGGACATGAGAGAGCAGGGCTTGTCCAAATCCCACCGCTACTGAGGCCAGCTCTCGGCGTCCAGGTGACTCCGAAGCCCAACTTCTAGCACACTTCCACGGGCAGCTACCAGGTGAAAGCCTTCTCTCCAAAATCCTAACCCCAGCCCGTGCCTTTCTCTGGGGCTGCCCGCAGTACCCTCACCGGTCCATGGAAAGCTGGGCCACCAGGGTGACATCGTGAGGCCGGGGAGGTGGCGGCTTGTGGGGCAGGAAGGTGATGTGCACACGGTGCACGGTGAGCTGCTGCTGCCGGAACTCAAAGCAGGCGTCTTCCTCGTCGAGCTGGGCCAGGCTCTGCTGCAACTGTGGGGAGTCAGGACAGAGGGCCAGGGCTGGGACAGGACGACACGACCACCCCAGCCAAGACTGCGTGCTGCCAGAGCAGAGGGCCAGGGCATCCCTAAGGCAAGGGAAGGTGGCTCCCTCTCACCTGCTCAGCCCCAGTTGGGGGCTGGCTCGGGCACCCAAAGAGCTCTCGACGTAGCAGGTTCCCGTCGTACCCCAGGAAGGTCAGGTACAAGTTGCGGAAGAATTCTGCATGTTTGTTTTTTACCCGCAGCTTCTTTGGTGAGTTCCAGTGGATCACCTGGGACCAGGAGAGTGTCAGTAAGGTCACTGAGAGCAGGAGCCATAGTCCCCATCCTCCCCCTCACCCGCCCAACCTGCCACCACCCAGACCCCTGCCCCACTCACCTTGAGGTCGGCTGCCTCCAAGTAGCAGAGCTCGGCCAGCGTGTGGTCTGACAGCTGGACATTCCAGACACAGGGCAGGGGCTGCACCAGCCCCGGGTGCTCCTTGATGACGGCATTGAAGATGTCCTAGGCAGACGCAGCCGTCACGCCTCAGCCCACAGGCTGCCCCAAGCCCAGGCCCCACCAAGGTTTCCCCAGACCTGGTCGGCCAGGGAGGTGGCAGGATGGGTCAGGAGCTCCCGCCGCGCTGTCAGCTGCCACATCTGCTCCCAGCCTGCTCGCCGAAGGCGGTCCAGCCACAGCAAGATCACACCTGCCAACAGGGACGGCTCGTCATGCCCAGGAGGGACAACCAGCTCCTGGAGGTAGGGGCCATGAAGGTATCTTCTGAATGTCTGTTTTGATTTCCTGGTACAGTCAAGTGTGGTGTAAGGATATTATAGGCAATGACAAACCACATATAGAATGGTCCCATATGATTATGGTACTTTTTTGTTCGTTTGTTTGTTTTTAATTTTAAAAATAAAAGGAGGAAAACATTAACAAAGAGACAACCTTTTACAAAATAGCAAAAGAACAGTACAGACAATACAGAGTTACAAACAAAGTGGTAGGGAATTAACAATGCTTGTTGTATTACATATTGATATCTTCAAAGTGGTTTCTCATGAAAACAAATAGACATGCAATACTGATCAATCAAGGACTCATTAACAGTTTCTTTCAGCAGTTTTTTGGTGTTTTTGAGACAGGGTCTCACTCTGCAGTTCAGGCTGGCCTTCAACTTATTTTGTAGCCCATGGTTGGCCTCGAACTTGCAGCAACCCTCCCGTCTCAGCCTCCCAAGTACTCAGATTACAGGTGTGTGACACCCTGCCTGACTCCATCCCATCTGGTTTGTATAACTGCAACCTGTGATTTCTGTGCAGCAAAATTGCCTAATGAGGCTACGGCTTTTGAAACCATCCTCATTTAATCGATGAGAAAACTGGGGTTTTTTGTTTTATGTTGGTTTGGGTTTTTTTTTGTCTTTTTGAGACAGGGTCTCACTATGCAGTTCAGGCTGGCCTTGAGCTCACTTTGTAGCCCAGGCTGGTCTCGAACTGGCGATGATCCTCCTGCCTCAGCCTCCCAAGTGCTAGGATTACAGGTGTGTGCCACCATGCCCAGCTTTCAATGAGAAAACTGAGGCTCTGAGATTGGCCAGTCATCCAGCACATGGACTGAACTACTGGGGAGCTTATCCAGTGCTCCTTCCATATTCCTATTCTTGGGTTGGGGGACTTCTCAGTATTCTGTGCCCTGCCCAGCTTCTGGGACTTAGAAGCCCCCTCCTCACGCCTCCCCCCAACATTGTCCCCACCTGTGTTAAATCCCCGGCCCAAGGCAGGCCAGGGCCTGTGGTTCTTCCAGAGGTTGCCCAGGTACCAGTCGCTCTGGTTCTCCACGAGCCCGATCACCTGCTTGTCTGGTGGGGAGGGGACGAGGGAGCTGCCTGCGGCCACCAGTGGACAAATCAGGGAGTGGGGTGGGGAAGGCAGGGACCCAGACCTCTCACCAGAAAAGTAAGCAAAGAGCGCCCAGAGCTCCGCGATGTCAGAGGCGAAGGTGACATCTGTGTCCAGGACAATGACTTGGGCCAAGCCCGGGGGCAGGATGCCGGGCAGCACTAGCTTCATCAGCCCATAGAGGCCAGAGTAGTGCTTGTTGGGGATCCAGGAGATCTGAGGCTGTGGGTGGGAAGGGCCGGGCATGAGCTGGTGGGGAAGGGGATCAGGGTGACATTACGGGAACAAAAGGGGACCCACGGGTGAAGAGTCGGAGCTTCAGGTGGTGTTTGGGGGGCTCCCTACCCCCCTACACACTGCTGGGAGTAGGCAGGGCTGAGTGAGGGGGTGGGTTCCTGCCTTGGGCTGGTCGGCATCATAGAAGCTGACCCCGAGGGCCGGCACCATCCACGTTCGGAAGAGCGTCTCCAGGATGCTCCTGGCCACTGCATCGGTCACCAGGTGCAGGTGCAGCGGATTTTTCCTTCGGAGCAGAGAGGAAGCCTGAGGAGGCCCCGCGGGAGGGTGGGGCGAGCCTCACCCCAGGGGGCTCACAGGTGGAAGCCTCCTCATCTGCCCAGAGCTCCTCGGTGCTCAGCTCAGGGTGTTCTCACGGAAGCCTCCCAGGCAGGAGAGGACACACGCCCTCCCGCCCCCCCACGTGTCACAGAGGAGGAAGCTGCGGCTTGGAGAGCAGTGCCCTGCCAAGACTTTGTCTCCTGCCCTCTTCTGACCTGCGCTGATGACACCTGGCTGTACCTGTAGAAGAGCATGGACTTCACCAGGGTGACGACCTCTCGGCTGGAGTTGAGTCCTGCGCACACGATGGCCACGTGCAGGAGCTGGGGAGGGGCCGCCAGGTCAGCTGCAGCCCCCACCTCCGCCCCAGCGCCGGGCTGAGCCGCCGGCCTGGACCCGGGTGCGCCCGCCTGACGTCTGGGCCAGGGTGTGAATGTGACGGGGACAGCGCCCGCACTTCACGACCGGAGAAACTGAGGCCGGGCCGAGGAAAGCGCCCTGCAGGAGGCCCCACAGGTGTCCAGATGGTACCTACCTGGCACCTGGGCGGACGCGGGGCCCCTTCGCGCGCGGCGGGCCCCGAAGGCCGCCCGTCAGGGGGTTCAGGCGGCGTGGGCCGGCAGCAGGAGCCCCC